CTAGCTTCAAACAAAAGCTGTTTTCTCTTGTGCAAACCTGTGGTGGGTCCTGCGAAAACAGCCATTGGGAGAATCAAACCCACTTCCCCACTTGTTCTCTCGACAACTCTGTTACGGCTCTGCCGAGTCTTTCCAAGGAGGTTTTGTATCCTCCGATGAGGATGTTCTGGAAATTGCTCGCAGAAAGCAGAAGCAGAGATGATTTAGGGGAGCAATCTGCAAGCTGACGTTCCTCCGAGCCTTCAGACTCCGTATGCAGCCGCTCTGCTGGATGGCTTCATACGCTTTGGGAACAGGAGCCACACTCAGTTTGTCTTTCCTCGTTTTTGATGAGAATCCGAACTGCAGTTGGGTTGGATTGCAGGTGTGTCCTGGCTGTGGAGCCGACCTGGCTCCGCTGCTCCCAATTCAGGGACTTGCTTTCCTTGTTCCCGCACGGCTTTCTGCTGCTTGCCAGGACAAATTCTTTGCTTTTGGGTTCCTGGAGCATGTTCCTGCTGGAGCATGTTCCTGCAGTTCATGCATTTCGGTTCCTATTGCCAGCTCTAGGACTCTGGAAAACAGGCAATTTTCCAGCGCTTGGACATGCTGTTGTGTGCTGCTTGCCGGGAGGGGCAGAGGATGGGCTTTGCTGCCTTCCCCGTTCAAATTTCCCACCTCGCTGGAAATTTGGGGCTAAGAAATGCAGCAGGAAGCTCTGTGCAGGTGTTTGCACACGGAGGCTGCAGCTTCTTTTGGGTCCTCCTTGGTGGGCGAGCCAAGCCTGCACGGGTGGGTTTTCCAGTCCAGCCGTGGGAAAACTAAGCCTCCATTAAGGGTTTGCAGATGCAAGAAGAAAGCTGGAAATGCCAATTCCCCCCTAAAATTCAGCCCCAGGCTCCCATACCTGCCTTTCCTCCCCATTTTACATATGCTCCTCCAGTTTCCCCTGGCAGATTTGCTTTTCTGGTTATTCCAGGGTGTGGACTGGAGGCTAAAAACCAAACTACTTTAAAAAAATAAAAAAAAATCTCTCTGATTCATCCTAACCTGAAAGGGGCTTTTCTGGCTGATCCCCAGCGTCCTTGGAACACAGATGCTCCTGAAACAGAGCCAGCAACACCATCGGGTAGGAGCAGAGCCACACCACTAGTATTCCTCTTTTTATTCCTTATTGCCTCAGTTCTCCTCACATCTCTGCTGTGAGAGCTTGGCCACCTCTGATTTATTTTGGGGAGAGGCTCTTGGAACCCCTCTAGAGCGAAACAAACCCTGAGCCTGTTTTTTAATGACCAGAGAGTATCATCCATCCCCAGCTCCGTTTCGCAAGCTGTCAGCACGAGTGGCGGCAGCGCTGTCATTGCTCATAGGGAAATATCCGTGCCAGTTTGTGCGGCACTTGGACAGCAGCTCACAATGTGCTGGCACACGGCGACGCAAATTTCCACACCCCCCCCTTTGCGTGTATCCCCAGCCAAAATGTCTTTTACTCCCTGGGGAGAAGGGCCAAAAAGAGGCATTGCAGAGCTGAGCTGTCCCAAGGAAATATCGTGTGTTGGAAAAAATCTGTTGCGCTTGAAACGCCGGCACTCAAGAGGGAATTGCAAAGCTGTTTGAGAGCCTTGATTTCTCTCTAGCACTGGTGTGAAAATGCCGCCAAACACAAGATTTCTTGGAGGGGGAGAGAAGAGAGGGGAGCTGTGCGCTGGAGGTGCTGGGTGCGTGGCTGCTTGATGTCCCTCGACCCCCTGGCTCATCCCTCCGCGGTGGAAAAGGCAGCGTCCCCTGTGCCATCGCAGCCCGCCGAGTGTTTGCTGAACTTTTAATCACAGCTAAAAACCACAAGCGAGATCTCACTCTGCCGGCAGTCCCCAGCCACTGGCGGTAAAAAACCCCGAGCTCTGCTGGCTGCAGCTGAACGAGAGAAATCCCTGGCACCTCCCTCTCCCCCTTGACCCCCGCTAATAAAATCAAGGTGGGTTTGCTGGAGGGGACACAGCAGCACGCACCGCGCCAGCACGCTCGCCGAGTCGAGATGCTGTTCCCCAGCCTGAGCCTCTCTCTGCGGCTCCTCACAGTTCCCAGCCCAGATCGAGAGACACGAAACAGCTCCTGTAGCACGGCGGAGGCACAGCCGACACAGGTGACATGACATCAGGTTTGCTTTTAAATGAGGAGATTGGGGAAAGAATGGATGGACGGCTCTGCAGAGGAACTGGGAAGGGAGAGGAGAGCGGTGCTACCAACGCACGCCCAGGACGCGCTGCTGACATGCACAGGGGTTACAAAGCCTTTTCTCGAGCTCCTTTCACAGAGCTGACAAAGGATTCCCAAAGCCACCTGCAAACAGGGCAGGGAGAGGGATTATTTCTAGCGCTTTTTTACCAAAACCAAGCTTTATTTTAACTGCAAAATTCTCACATAACCGGAGATGAGATGAAGCGGAGCACAGCACCCGGGTGGAGGCAGACCTGGGTGCCGGGGGGTTTTGGGGTTTTCAGAGCTCACCTGTCCAGGGCGATGGCCGTCATGGAGTAGATGCTGGCGAAGACAGCGGCGATGGGGAAGAAGTTGTGAAACTTGCAGTAGAGCAGCCCGTAGTACCACTCGTTGTGGATGGCGTAGGTGAAGTTCACCACCGTGTTGAAGGCAGACATGGAGGCTTCGGCGAAAGCCAAGTTCACCAAGAAGTAGTTGGTGACGGTGCGCATCCTCTTGTGAGCCAGGATGATCCACATCACCACCACGTTCCCCACCACCGACACCACCACGATGAGGGCGTAGGCGACAGCCCACAGGGCCACCTGCCACGGGGGCTGCACGAACTGGTTGGCAAAGGACTCGTTCAGGGAGGCATTGAGTAGCCACTGGTGCTCCAGCTCCGCTGCCAGCGGCACGGTGTTATCCATCGCGCCCTGGCGTGGCCGGACCCGGCACACGGATGTTTGGGGTGCAGCTGGACCCGGCACACGGATGTTTGGGGTGCAGGTCCCTCCTGGTTTAGGGTGCAGCTGGATCAGGGTACAACAAGTTTGGGGGGCACAGTTTGGGGTGCAGCTCCCTTCTGGTTCAGAGTGCAGCCATTTTGGGGTACGTGGCTGGTTCAGGGCACAGGTACCTCCTAGTTCAGGGGACAGCTGGTTTGGGGTGCACGACCAGTTTGGGGTACAGGACCGTTTTGGTTCAGGGTGCAGGCGGGTTGGGGTGCACGGCTGGTTCAGGGTGCAGGTCCCTCCTGTCTCTGGGTGCAGCCGGAGCGGGGTGCCCGGCCATGTCAGGGCACACTGTTGGCTTGGGGCACATATCCCTCCCAGGTGCGGCACAGCTGGACTGGGATGCACAGCTGGTTCGGGGTGCAGGTCTCTCCAGGCTTGGCTGCAGCTGCTCCGGGGCACAGCTTCCTCCCGATTCAGGGTGCAGCTGCTCCGGGGTGCAGATTCCTCCTCATTCAGGGTGCAGATGATCCAGGGTGCAGGGCCCTCCCGGTTCAGGACTGGAGAGGGATGCAGGTCCTTCCCAGTTCAGGACCAGAGCAGGGTGCGGGTTGTTCCCAGTTCAGGATCAGAGTGGGATGCGGGTCCCTCCTGGTTCCGGATGCAGGTGCCTCCCAGTTCAGGACTGGAGCAGGATGCGGGTCCCTCCCGGTTCAGGGTGCAGGTGCCTCTGGGTTCAGGATCTGAGCAGAATGCGGGTCCCTCCCAGTGCCAGTTCAGGATGCGGGTCCCTCCCGGTTCAGTATGTGAGTCTCTCCCGGTTCAGGACCAGATCAGGATGCGGGTCCCTCCCGGTTCAGTATGTGAGTATCTCCCGGTTCGGGACCAGTTCAGGATGCAGGTCCCTCCCGGTTCAGTATGTGAGTCTCTCCCGGTTCAGGACCAGATCAGGATGCGGGTCCCTCCCGGTTCAGTATGTGAGTATCTCCCGGTTCGGGACCAGTTCAGGATGCAGGTCCCTCCCGGTTCAGTATGTGAGTCTC